AGAAAATCTTGAGCCTTAAATATAGAGTCAATCTTTTCTCTCTTTTCTTTAAACTTGAAAGTCAGTCCTTCGGGCACCAGCCATTTGTAGTTTGTTTGATGGTTTTGTAGGAATCTGGTCAGTCCCTTATATTCTTTTCTTTTCAATCTTATTTCAAATGGAACATTTTTTAGAGTTCTTATCAACTGATCTCCGATTTTCAGGGGTGTAGCTGATGTCACCTTTAAGATCTGATCTCTGAGACGTTGCTTTGTAAATTTTACAACCACTTCTGCTGGCAACTTATTTTTTCTTGTATAATTGGAATAGGCCCTATAGGTCACATCCATTTCTTCTTTTATTTTTTCCTCTTCGTTGCCAGTTAGTGGAGCCAAGGCTGTCGCTAGTATGTCTCTTAGATCCTCTTCAACTTCTTCTTTGAGTCCCTGGAACCAGAGAGTTAGGTTTGCTTTTTCCATTTGAAGCATTAATAGTTTCTTGTCTTGTTTTTCCTGATGTTTTTCAACTTTAATGACCTTCTTCTTAACTTTTTGTACTTCTTCGGCTGATGCCAGACATTGCTTTGCGATGTCATCCACCTTTTCAGCTGTCTCTGTCATTTTTTTCTGTTGTAAAGTATAGGCACATTCCATAGAATCAAGTTTCTGGTTAATCTTTTGCAGTTCTTCCAGCAGATGGCGCGCAAGAGCACCTTCTTGCTGATTGACAGCAGATCCAGCAAGGGAAGGGCTTTGGCAGGAAGTCCCTCCCGTCTTCTTCGCCATCTTTTCTTGTACTTTTTTTAGTCCCCGCCATGCTTCAGTTTTGTTTACACTTAGAAAGTTCGTGCTGTAGCCTTCAAGGAAGCTTCGCCTTTGGGTTATTTCTGACGTGGTGCATGTGGCCTGAACCTGGGTCACGTATGTCAGCAGGGTCCTCCTGGACTGGGTCTTGTGGTGCAGACATGGCAGGGGCTGGGGCGTGTGACAGGGGGCCTTTTCACAAGGCACCCAGAGGCTGGGATGCCCTCCCTCGAACAGCCCCTTCACTGCCAACTTCGAGAGGAAGAGACAACTTCCATTTCGGAAATCTTTCCGCTCTGACTAAATGAGACAAGTGGCCAGATCAGACTCTGAGGAACTTCAGGGATTATAGTGACTGGTTTGTTTTTTTTCTAATTATCTGTAATTCTGCTTTGAATATTATACCTGCTTCCTGGCTTTTTTGACAGTATGATTAACCAACAAGGTAAGATGTAATTATTTAATTACACGGGTTAAAGTATCCAGGATTGATCAAGCAATCTGCAAGGTCTAAAGGAGGTTCCCCCCTGCATTTCTGTTAGGGTTTATTTTGAGCAAAGCAATGAGGTCGGCAGGGAATCAACCAGTGATACGTCTGTAAAGGAGGGTGGGAAGTGGCACAGCCCCCCCCCGCATTTATGCACGACACCCAGCCCCCTCTGGGGCCTCTGCAGAGCTGCTACTGCATCCGGGGCACGGGGTGTGTGTGTGTGCATGTGTGGAATGGACTCTTCATGGGCCCTGACTGACTTGATCCAGAACAGTCCCGAAACGTGGCTATGGATCACGCTGTG